CGCATAGCTAAAGGTGTGATGGTTTTACCAACAATGGGATGTTTACACAACCCTACCATAAAGACACATTACAAGGAGCACAGTATCCTGTGTACTGACATGGGGCACCTGAGCATTGTTATAGTTGATCTCCACTTCACACATTACTACTTGAATAACAAAGCGAAAATATTATGAGTGCAAACTCACTTTAGTGAGGATCCCTGCAAAATACCCAATGTCTGCCTACCAGATACACTCCAAACCAATCGGACAATATACTCTGGTGTTCAGAGCCAGTATGAGTCTTACAAATATATAAATGCTTGAAAGAAGACTTTCAGCAGTGACCAGGGGTGACCTGCACCCAGACAGCATTCTGGTGTTATGAAACATTACTGTATGTCAGAAAAACATGGAGGAAGGTGCAAGAAGGATGACAGAGAGAAAATACACTTTTCCTTCTCTTCCAAGTAACAAAACAGAATGGAAAGCAGAACTGTTCTTGAAGCTCTAGTGAAATATTTCATTTTACTAGAATAAAAGGAGTCCCATGAGGTTGTTTTAATAATGCAAAGGATGCAATCTGTGGTTGAGTTCCTCTCTGAGTAATTGGAATAGAGGGTTAATGTCTCAGAAGGATAAGAGAACTAGCGTTAAACTCTTTTAATATGTGATGACTATCTGGGAAGATTTCAAGAGCAAATCATATCTTATCAAGAAAAAGATGCTGCAAGGTGACCTTATTCCAGTTTATAAATATCTGAAAAAAATCCCATGATGGTCTGGTTGGGAATTTCTGGGGTTTATGCAGTAGAAGCCAGACCTTGGGGCATGATCTGAGGATAATGAACAGGATGCTTCGCTCGCATGCTCATGCAGCATGGGTTGGTGATGGGATGTGGTTTGACTCCCTGGTATGAATCACACGAAATGGAAAGACGAGAGTTGCTCTTGATGGGAGAGAGAGAAGGTGGAGGTCTTGTCTTCATGTCTCCATGGCTTAGTGGTCCAGGGAAAATCTATTAACAGCTGTCTTTGTGCCTTAATTCTCAATGCATATAGGAGATGGTAATACCTTTCAGCCCAAACAGGGTTATTTGGGGAACAATTTATTGATTTTTTGTGTATTCTCTGATGCCACATAGCTGATTGTGATGCACTGGTTAAAAGATTCTGGTGTATGCTATTATCCAGATACTATGACTTTTTCACATAAGGAGTGTTATGCTAAGTCAGACCAGCTTGGATATTTGTGTCCTGAAGCCATCAGTATTAGGAACTTAATGAAAACTCCCATGAAACATTGTAAATACATCCCTTTCCTACCGTGCCTTGTTTTCTGTTGTGCTTAAGGCATCAGCGTCCAACGTCACTGCCAGTTTCTCAGGGATAATAGCCACAGAGGAACTTATTCCTTACAAATTTACATATTTCTTTTTGAGTACCTTAAAATTTTTGGCACTGCAGTATGAGAAGAGAGATGTTTCTGGAGTGCTTGAAACCATCTACTTGACAATTTCTCTTGTTCATTTGTTTCTCCTTTTTAATGTGAAATGGTGACCAGTTCATTCTGATTTATCCTCCCCTGATCATGAAGTCAAGCAAGTGCTTCAGTCAGTGGTGGATGAAGGCCTAGCTGAATGCATTTTGAAGAAGATGAAGGGAGGGAAAAAATAAACTTGCATCTCTTTCAGTATCCTCAAGAAACAGAGCTTTCAATCAAAGGTTGTGTGAAGGATGTGGGAAAAGGAAGGAAATGGAAGATAGGAAGAGAATGTCAGGACCAAAAGATTACTTTAATAATTACAGGATTTATCAAATCATTAGCTTGGTGGGAAATCATCTCTCTGCTCAGCAGAACACGACTGAGAGACAGAGAGGAAATCTCAAAAAACCCTCATCCTATCACAACATCCTCTGCTATAAGGTTTGTCCTCTTTCATCCACCTAGATATATGATGAGGTTTGGAAGTGCTTGTCAACCCAGATTTTAGAACTGAAGCTGAGAAAGAGAATGGAAATGCAACTTTGAAACAAGCAAGCAGTTAAAAAATTCCTGTGACAAGGCTGAAACATGCTTTAAAAATATTCAGTTCCTCAAAATTTTTGTCCCTTTCCTCCCACTGCTTTGGCATATTTGGAACTGAATGTGGAGGGCCATGGCCCACATTTGGGCTAGAAAATGGCATCTCTGTGCACCTGAGCCCAGTGGTTCTGGTATGTCTCAACACAGGGGGATTTGGGGTAAAGGAAAAAGGACAAGACAATTTTTAAGGTGAATCGTCAAGGAACCAGGCAGAAGAAGTCTGGACCAATCCAATTAGCCAGAGGAATTTTCTCACGGGAGTTTTACCTGTTTAAATGATTTGTCCCTCTCTGCAGGCTTGTCAAGTTTTGTGCCTGAGGCAGGGACTGGAGCTTGCTGTTCTGAGATGTGTGGCTTTAGTTTGCTGCTGGGTTGGTCTCTCCACTGATGTAACTCCACTGAGGCTTGCTGATTTGCAAAGCATTTGGCATCCTGATCCTGGTTTTCCTCTCTCCCTCTCGGCCTCTCTAGCACTCTCTACTCTTCTCCTTTTACTCCAGGGGTGTAACCTGGCAAACCTCAGCTGTGCTTCCTCGATGAGGCAGTGGCCTTGAGTTGCTCTGAATTCATCTGACCTTTCCAAACAGGTCTCTGGGGGCTTTGCTTTGTCCTTGTGGGTTTTTTTCACAGCATATTTTTTCTGTGTGATGCACAAGCATTATTTTCTGCTTGCAACTCCCAGAACTTACGCTGCTCGTCTTCCTAAGTTATCCCACCTTGGGTGGAGCTGGAGCTCTGCCTGGGGCTGCTGTTTCACTTTCCATCAGTCTTGATTCTCTGTTGTCACACTGTACATCCTCCTTCCATCCATAAGGGCTGTGGGTCTGAATCACAACAAGGTAGAGGCTACTCTGGGAGCTGACATTGAATTAGGATATAATCAGAGAGGAAAAAAAAGTACAGAGAGGGAGATGCATACACAAACATACATATTTTTGGTGGAGGATGATGACTGCTATGTATCAAGCATGCTCTTATTTAATGTTTGCTCTACTCATCTTGGAATATTTGCTTTGTCAAACAGCTTGACTGAGATTTGTAGGGAGGAGGGTGGAGGAGACAACTTTCCATGACAATCTGTTATGAAACAGTGACTGATTTCAGGGATTCTTTTTTTCAGTTTAATAAGTTGACAAAGATATCAAGGAGAAAATCAAGTTACAGCTGAACCAGAAGATAAATTCTTTAGTTTGAAGGGGGGTAAAAAGGAGTGCATTAATTTGGCTTAATTTGAATACTGTGTGATGCTGAACAAAACAGTTTTGGTTTGGTTCTTTAGTACTGTTTCAAATCAGCATTTGTCACTTGAAAGTGGCCCAAGTTGAAATAAAAGTGCTTAAATCAAAGTTCCCAAATTTTTTTGTTTAAAAATGTTCAAGTGTCACCATTTGTTTTTCCAAGAACAGCACATTTTATTCTAGAAAGTCCTGGGGATTGCAGGGGGTGGGAGCATGGAGGGAAGAATTATTCTCAGCAAGAAGAAAATGTTTTGGACTAAGAAATCACTCACTAAAAGTAGACTGAATTTGTAAATAGTTTCAGTGTCATCAAAATCATACTGTCTGGTAACTTTGCTGTATCAAATGTTTACTATGAAATATGTCAGTGCTTCAGTCTGGCAAAGAGTTATAGAGCATTGGTCCCCAGCACTACTAAATTGGTGTAGGCTGAACTCATAATCCACAGGCCCAGACCACACCTGTAAGACTCTCTAAAGATGTCTTAATTTCTTCTACCAATTTACAGAGGCTTTCACACATATGCACATACACTAAAAACAAACAAATCAAAGTCCTAGGTTTTAAGGCTGTCAATTTACATTTTGGAGGAGAAGGAAGAGAGGGACCTAAATCTGATTTTTCATGAGAACTTTGCAATGGAGCAAAGATTGCATCAGAGAGCTGATTTGTTCTTTAATCAAAAGCAGCATTCCCACAAAGCTACCCACAGACCTATCCTTTGGAAAATCAGGCAGTCTCCTAAACACGAGTAAGGAACCTGCATTTTATTGATTTTATTTCTCTCTCAGTTTACCTGGAGGCAGGCAGAGTCACTTCCAGCCTCGTTCTGCAGATGGTGCCAGGGAAGAAGCTGGAAACTGCCCCTTGATGGGGAGGTGAGATTTGACCTCTTGGGTGCTCCAGCAGCTCCCAGGTCCTCCTGAATTTGCCTCCCATGTGTTTACTCTCTAATGTGAGAGACGCAAGCACAGCTTGGTCGCTATCAGAGGCCACCGCCATCTGTTGCTGGATGGCACCATCTACTGCACCCCAGTCACTAAAAACAGGTGTTGTTCCCCTGGGTGACAAACTATTTCTCCCCATATTTCTCAACAGAAGTTCCACTGAGATCAGTGGAACAGTTTCAGGAGTTAAAAACTGTCCATGCTCCCCCCACCTCTATTTAAATAACTGGATTTTTTGCAGTTTATATCCTAGTTTCTAAGTTGTAGCTACAGACGCCTAAACAAACATGCTCTTAGTCAGCTTGCTTTATGAGAGGAGTTATTACAAGCTTGTAGCAGGTCCTGTTGGTCCTAAGGCAGAAGAAACCTTATACCACAATTTCCCTGTCTCTGGATAAACTTGAGATGAAACTCAGATGAAGCCACTCCTTTCTTCTGCACATTTTCTGCTCATGCTGTGTCAAACCCAATTATTATCATTATGTCAGTTCTGTCACACTCTATAAATATAAGTCTAAATAAACCAAACAGCATGGTAATTTTTGTAAAGGGGGAAGTGCAAGGAAGGATTTCATTATGGCTCAGAGCGCTTTGCAGAAACAGGGAGCAAGATAAGACTTAAGGGTCTCAGGCCCTACTTTAGAGTAAGATAAATCTCCTGGGAGCAGCACCTCCTAGTAGCTATGGTTTTCAGGTTGGCATGGTGGAAGAGAACACTCACCTTCCTAAAATAAGTAGGATTTCTAATTCAGTGAGGACAGGATTTATTAAAAGCTTCAAGATAAAAATCAGGCAAACTGTACTTAACAGTAATTCTTAAATCACAGAAGTTTAGTCTTTCAAAACCTTGCTCTAGCCTCAGGATAATAACCGTATAGAAGCTGCATACAAATGAGCCTGGATGAAAAAAACAGAAAACTATTACTGAAACAAGCTACAGGCAAGGGAATTGGTGTGTGCATGTAAAAGGAAACACAGGAGGGATATTTTAAACTACACCTTCCAGCTCCTCACCATGGACTGGATCCAATCCTTATAAAAGCCAGTGGGATTGACTTCATGAGAACTGGATCAGGTCCCATGTTACTCCTACTTTGGATCCTTGCCACACGTGGAGGTAGTCCTGAAAGAGAGAGCAAGTGAAGGGGAGTTTAATTTACATGACCTTCCAGTTCACTCTCCACTTACAGCTGCTCTTTTAGTCAAGAGAAAACATCTACAGCTTTCCAAGAGAGGAAAATACGCTGCAGTACGGGGAGGTATATTTTCATGTCATTTGCAAGGTAAGTCACTTGTAAACTTAAAGACTTTCTTCTATTCTTTGAAAATTGTGCCTAAAACATTTTCAAATACTTTTTACAAGGTCATCTGTGATTCACGGGGCTCTTGCTCATGCAGTCAGGGCACCATATGCTTCAGCTGGCTTCAAGGAGAAACAGGGATCCAGATTTTCTGGAAGTCAGGAGCAAAGAGGATTTCTACTCTGGCAGCCAAAAGAATACAGGCAGACAAAAAAAGATAACACACAAATGAGCTTGTCTAAACATGCCATCTGCAAAGTATGAAGACTCTAGCATATAATACCTGTTTTAAAGCAGATAATGAATTACCTAATACAGAGTGAAATGAGAAAGTGAAATTAAAAGAAAAAAAACCAGCAAAACAAAACAAAAAAACAACCCACAATTTAAAACCTGTTGGTTGCCCCTGGCATGTTTTTAATTTTGCTTCTGCTCTCTTGGTTATTCAATGAGACACTTGCTAATACCTCATGGAAAACTTTACCAGTCTTTCCACATTGAAGCATTTAGAGGAAATATATTACGTCATGTCATTTTATGATCTGTTTCTTCTTTCCCCATCTTCTCCCACTGTAGAGATTTGCCTGAAAGTCAAAGACTGGATTTCTGGCTGCTGTAAACACACCTAGCCATACAGTGACTTTACTGATTGACTTCAGCCAGGATGAGACCTCATACCTGTCCTGAACTGTTACTTTCCCTTGCACGTCAGGGAAATATCCTTGACTGATATCCCTGACCAATAAGCTTCAAAACTATGACCCTCTTTCCAAGTTGACACGACCTAATTCTTCACTGGAAGCTTCTTCCATAACTCCTTGGAAACATCCTACCAGCACCCCTACATACACTTAAATGTGCTGTATCTCCAAGGAACCTGCATCTCTGAGCTCACCTGGTTCTTTGCCTCTGCACTGAAGAGATATTAGGTGTTATAACACAAATCTGCTTAGGAAACAAGCTTGAGTCCTGACCAGCTGTCTCACAACTGCTAGTTTACTTCCTTCTCTGTTTCAGGATGTCCAGCTGATCCTAGTTGCAGGCATGAGTTTAGGATCCCTCTGCTTAATGGGGTCTCCTTCCAGAAGGTCTTATAACACCCCAAAGAACCTCCACCTGCCTTTACATCAAAGCCGTGTTATGCACACCCCTATATTTTGCTAGAGAAACACTACCCCAGAGGGCTCTAAACTGTCTGTTCAGACTGTTTGAACAGACAGAAGAGAAATCAGACAACTTATGACAAATGGCAACAAAAGAGTCTGTGGTCCAGAGTGGACCAAAGCTTGTGTAACATGAGTATAGTCAGGTTTTCTGTAAAGGGAAATGCCCTAAAACATGTGGGTGTGACTTCTCCTGTGGTACCTGCCCAGTCTTCATGACATTGTTCTACCCCTTGTACCCATAGATTTAACTAGACGCTTCACAGAGGTAATGAGCTGAGTGCAGTGCTTGGTGGACTTGTGTCCTTTAGGCTTCGACTAGCGAGTTTAGATGGCCTAGCCATGCTTAACTGTTAGAAACATCTGGTCACACAGAAATACTACATAGCAAAAAAAAAAAAAAAATGAGCCAGTGTTTCTTCCACTTCCCATCTCAAATCCCTGTGTGACCACAAGCTTTCCTTTTAGGCGAAAGCTATCCAGTGTGTACAGCGATAACTCAATGCAAGGTGTCAAGCACTGGTTCTTGGTTTTCCTTGTGATTGAGTCTGGAATTCAGACTTTCTGTGAGTGTTTTATTATCCTCTCTGGTGATAAACATCCTTGTGTGCCTGGTATGAGCTCTGTGGAAGTTGTTTGCTGGGGGAAATCACGGTCCTGTAGGAAAATGATCGAATTATTAACTGGGACAAGAATGTTCTGGCTTTACTGCACCTATTCTACACCTTTTATATTTTTATAAATAAAAATAATTTATTTTCCTCTTTTTGTTTAGATTCTACACTCTCTGCTCACACAAGCAAAGTCTAGCTGTCCTGTCTCAGTTGTACCTAAGTGGAGTAGGTGTAGGTTCTTGCTGCTGGACATGCAGGATTTGTTCTGTGTTTACATGGCTCTTACCAGCTCTGCTGTAGGGTAAGTTACATAGGAAGCCATATATGTATGTCTCCTTGGAAGTGGCATAATACATATCAAAAATCAAAAACTTTTGTAGGAATTCTCAATGTCAGATGGTGACCACACAGCTCTGCCAAGAAGTGTTCATCCCCTTGCTTTAAAATGACTGTGGAAACCACAGTGATGCAAACACTGGCAAAGTAAGGCACCATTCATACAAACTGAGGAAAAAGAAATAATTTTCGGTTCTCACAACCAAGTGACAAAGAAGATAAGTGACTTGTCCACGGCTTGTGATTCTACTTGCAGGGTGACAGGATCAATCTTAACACCTCTTTGTGGCTGGCTGAGGCAGTACAATTCCTGAGCTGATGCCTCCAGCACACTGAAAAGCACTTCTAGAAGTGTAAGCTCCCCAAAAATAGTCAGCATGCCAGCACCTACCAGACTGGCTTGGCCTTTTCAGGGGTTTATTTGTCCTAACACACAAATCATTGGTTCACTGGACTTTGTTCCTGGGGGAAGTTATGTCTTGATGGGGGTGACAGGTGAAAATACATCAAGTGTATTTCTGAACATCAAATGCTAACTGAGCCCTTTCTCATTTGCATGCCTGTGGCATAGAACTGCTCAGGATATGTTTGGAGCAAAAGCCACACTAAGCCACAGAAATGTTTTCCCATTGCTGCTTATTTGTCTTTTTAGGCGTCATGAAACCCAGGGTGCATAAATGAACATGAGGTTGAGTAATGTAGGATTGAAAAATACCTTCAAGTCCTCAGATCTGCCAGGAAAGCTTTTGTGCCTGTCCTAAAGCAAGTGTGATGGAAGTCCTGGAGGTGTTCTGAGTGTCCTTGGAGCTTTTCATGTGTAAGAAGCAAAGGTTAGTTACAGAGAAGTGCTTGGTCTTACTAAATGGGCTCTCTTCCTCAAATTAACCCTGATATCACCATTATGAATGTTTATAAAAGATGGGGACAGGGATGTCTGGCCATTCTAGATTTCCTAGTCTAATATTTGGAAACATCAGGGCCCATGAGAGTTTAGTGGCTCATAAATAACACCAAGAAAAGTTTGGTCATTACTGCTTCAGGACCCAGCCTTTTCAATTTCTGTGGCATTGGGCACTGTGATCTTTTCGGCTCAATTAGGCTGATCCTGAGACAAATTAGGACCTCTACCTATTCTATGCTAGGCTGTGTGGAGCCACCCTTTTCTTGTGAGTTAAAATTTTAATGAAGTCAGTGGGAAGCTACAATTAAAGCTCAAGTTGTTAATGGTGGTTTAAGGTCTGTTCCACTTTGTATTTTGAGGTCTGAATTGCGTAGACAACTTCCATCACTGGAAAAAATACGGAAGTCTTTGTCACCTTATTTCAATGATTATTAGGGTCTTATACAACTTAATGCACAACAAAGGAAAAAGAACAGAAAAGGTACACAACTACATAGTAGCTCACACTCCCTGTTCACTCCATCTCTGGGTTTTAGGGGGGCATTTTATGAGTATAATTTTGAATTCATAAACCAGATAAGTTGCTGTCTATTGGGTAGGATGTTACTTGATTCTTAATTGTAAAGATAAAGTCATAATGGTACAGTGAAGTCACTACCTCGTTTCCCTTCACATTTTCTTACCCCAGGCAATTCTGAACCAGGGGCCCCAAAAGAAAAACACAGCTCAAAATAAGAACTGAATCAACTGCAGGCAACTGCAAGAGTGAACTCCACTGACTCCCATAGCTCAAAGCCAGAAATTACTTGGTAGGTTATCTGCAACTAGGTAAAGCTTGTAATTTATGTGTTGCTATAGTCAGCTCAGTGGGGTTTTGGGACAAACAGCTGCTCTATGCTACATATAGCTTGGAAGTTTGTGGCTTTTACAGAACTTGCCATTCAGTGGTCAAAAGGGATCTGTAAAAGGGAGGGAAGGGCTGGCACTCTGAACTCAGGGTCCATGGGCAAGTTCCTCTACAAGATAAACAAATATCTGACCTACTGTACTTTTAGATTGGATTTTTAAGAAGAAGGAGTTATGTGGCCCTTTTAATAGAGCAGAAATAAGGACTTGCACCACTTTTCAGACTTGGGGATGAGCCTGCAGCTTCCTCATTTTCTCAGTGGCTTTCTACAGCTGCAGTTGAATACGACAAAAATAGGAGAGATATGAAACAAAGGAGAACTTCACAGCTAAAATAAAACTCAAGAAAAGGGTAAATGCTTGTCCTCTTTCTCTTGTCACTCCACAGCAACTTGCAACCTATTTGAGAGCTGATGAAGGTATTTTTAAAGACTAGCTTTGAAAATAAGGAATGATTTTGATGTAAGGAATGATAATGATATACTCTGACCATGCAGCCTAGAGTAGGGAGGACTACTGAAGAAGGAGGTAAATTGTGAAATCTATGAGCAATATTTCTCTGTTGAAATACTCCGACTTTCTGATAAGATGTTTCCAGTTTCAAAGCTTCAGCTTCCCGAGCTGTACACTTTTACTAGGGCAAATATTCTGACCAGGTCTTGTGCTAAAGTATATGCTTGATTTTCTACCCTTTTGTTATCCTGAGATCCTAAGTTTCTCTTTCCCTATTTTAGCCAAATGCTTCTAGCAAAAGCCCTTGAGAGTGAAGGCTTTGCCTGAGTGGAGGGAAATGCCAGAAGGAAATGCTAAAATGCCAATCTGGTGAAGACAGCTTTAAACTAAGGTTACTGGGAGAAGGGAACCTAAATCCATCATACTGTTATCAGTTTGA